ATTTTCTTCTTGCGGATTTACTTCATTGGTATTTTGTACAAAATTTATTGTAAACTTTTGTGCGATATCTAAATATGTTTACAACAAATTATTTTAAATAAAAATAACATTTCATAAATAGTTATACCTTCTTTGACATTAGTAGGTGGTAAACCAAGTAAAAATGTCTCACTTGTGGACGAATCATATTTAAATCCAAGTTCAATATACTTTTTTCTGATTGTCGTTAGGATTAAATTTTTTATTTTATCACTAAGAAAAATGAAAAATTCTTGGTATTTTCCTCGATATCTTAAGTCATTAAATTCCATATTCCATATATTGCACAATGAATTAAAATCTAAATATTTTAGTTGACAAAATAACTTTTCTTCATCAAGTTCAAGACGTCTTGCGAATAATATTTTCGCGATTGTTTCTAATACATCTCTAGTTGAATCCGAACTGATTCTCAATGTAGTCAATAAACTTTCATCTTCCTGTATATTTGTTAGTAAACTGCTTAAAATAAAACGGGTTCTTGTTAGGGTGTTCAAGGGACTATTATGATATTTTTCTATTGCATATAACGCTCCTTTCATAAATTTTGCCATCGGAATAATTTCAAACATTTTTGTTAAAAGTGTGACTGTACAATTGTGCGCACTATCATCGCAAGAATTTAATAGATGTAAACAATGTTCTTGTAATTTAATTAATGATAAAAATATTAATTTTAAATCATGATAGTAAGAACATCCAAGAAATATCGTTGCTTGCCGTATGTAATTATCGCAATTATATAATGTTACACGTTCAATAAATAAATCTCTCGGTTCATATTTTTGTCTCCAATAATTAATAAATTCCACATCATTTATATTTTTCCATCCTGGTTGACGTAAAAAATCATTTATGATAGCCGCTTTTTCTTTTTTATTATGTAATCCTTCAATATCTAAAACAGCGAAAAACATACATAAGTACACTTGAATATTTAGTATAATTGCCATTTTCATTTTCGAAAAGTTCTCAATCTATTTTATTATATCTATAATCTTATTAAAAAAAATAATAGTCGTACAAAATTTATTTCAATGTAATGATGATATTAATAAAGTTTTTTATTTCTATACTAAAAAAAAAAATTAGCAAAAAATGCCCACTGAGTAAACAGGTGCAGATAAGTAAACAAAATTAATTTATATGACAGCGTAGAGGAGCAGGATTATCACGTTTTAAACACTGCGTGTTTAGAAGACCAAAAATTTTAAAATGTGCATTGTTTCTTTTGGAAATTATAAGCGATTTAAAAATAAATTGTATTAATACTTATAATATGACTAGTAATACTATATTATATATAAAGAAGTAGTAGAAAAAAGTACTGTTTATAAAGATAAACAATTGTTATTAAGATATTTTAAACTTGTACCAGTTTTTTATTTAATTTATTTAGTACCTAATGATGAACAAATAGCATAAAAATAAATTATAGCTAAATTAAACAAAAAAAATTTTATTTAAAAAAAAATTATTTTAGTTTAAAATTTAGTTTAAAAAAATATCTACAACACTTTATATTACTATATGAACAAATGTGAAAAAAATATGTAATAAAAATTTATAATAATATATATAAAAATATATATATTAGGGTGGATTAAAAAAAATCGATCAACGTATTTTTAATATATTTTAATATTATTTTAACCCAAAACACTTATATCATTTAAAAATAAAGCGTTAGATAATATACATGACATACTTGAAAATATCATTAACAGACAGTTGATAATTAAATACTTTTCAATTAATATTATATTTATTAGACAGTTAATGTATACTAATTATAATAAATTAATAAACGCTAATTATGTTATCTATGCTATCAATTTTCGACTTCAAATTTTGAAACTGAAAAATTTGTATTCTACATTAAAAATCAAACTATTTTGATATACTAATCATAATATTTTACCAAAAATTGAATAACAGAGGCCGTTTTTTGTTTTTCGTGGTATTTTTCGTCAATATACTAAAAACACGTTGAGTGACTGGTAAAATTTTTTTTTAAAAATCTCAAATTTTCACAAAATGCATATTATAATGTAAATAAAACGGTAGCATAGTGGGGTCGAGGCACAGTNAAAAAAACGGTAGCACAGTGGGGTCGAGGCACAGTGTAGACAAGGCATAGATGGGACAAGTATAAATGATATTTGACAGTGATTAAAATCACTATCATAAGAAAAGCTCCGATGCAAATCTGTGGATAGTGTTTCATTTAGAGAAATTGGTGAATTATTCCAAAAGCAACATCAACTCTTATTTCTTTGATTATATCCTAATTAGTAGTTCTTTGATTTTAAGATATAATATATGAATAAATACTAATTATAATTATTAAATTTAGTATGATATTGATATTCAATAATTTAATATTGTAATTTAAACGGAGAAATTATAAAAATAATAAAGAAGTTGTATTTTGCTTTATTTTTACGTGTATAAAAATTTAAAGGGCTTGATACAATAAATTTCAATAAAAACTGTTTGTTACTATAAATAAATGCACTGAACTACAAGGAACTTTCATCAGTAACAAAAATTTACAATTCTAAATCAACTTTTCGCGTTATTTTTAAATCTGCAATTAGACTTTTTCTATCACTTCTAAGTTTTAATATTATTAAAAATTAGTATTTACATAGAAAAAATTCGCATCGAAGCTAAAAAATTGGCTATTTAAGCTAACTCAAATTTAAAAATTACTTTTTCGACTTTAAAAAGTAAAAAAAATTTAATAAGTTTAATTTTTTATGCCTTATGACCTTTATTCTATGTCAATTAAATTATATAATATTCATGAAAGTCAATATATTCTCCTAATAACATATTGTAATGATATACATAGTACATCATTAATATCATAATAAATTATTTGTATACACATTAGATCATTAATGTCATAATGTAGTATTTAAGACTTCAATCAATCAATTACACAAAATAAAATGTATACCAATAAAAATAAGATATATATATATATATATGTACCTTTTAAATGTTTAAAAAAACTAATGAAATTTCGTAGAAAAAGAGTATATATTAATTATATAAAACAAACAGGAAATAATAAACAATATGTAATGGTAGCACATAAGATGTAGGGTAATAAACAATGTCTAAATTATTATATAAGATATGATACTATTTTATAGTATGTAGATCATTATTGATGAAAATGTAATAAATAACATGTAATAAATTACGATTAATAAAGAAATAACGGTGGCGTCGGGGATTACTTCTTGCCTTTGAACTACGGTCAAATTTAAAATAAAACGCCAAAAATAAAGAGCATTCTGAGACAGATGCAATCAGATATTTCTAGAGGCATTCACTGCGCTCGATCATTCCACACTACGAAATATATGCAAGAAGTGATCCGCCATCAACACAGTTATATTTGTTCAAAGAAAAAACACAACATCTATTTATTTTAGAGTATTGCAGAAAATATTAAGGTAGGAATCTAATAAATTCACCAAAAATAAATAAGGTTTAGAATTAAATTTTATGAGTACATAGATTAAGTAGGCATACAGGAAAATCAAGTGATTATCAATAATAATAAATATACCAAGTAAATTTAATAAATCGGTAATGTTTGTACAGAGTTACTTGGCAGAGTTATATCGTTGATACGTGTCTATTTCAGGAGTTAGGTTGGAGGTTCATATGTATAGCCACCATACCACTCTGGGTAGACACACGAGGTGACTCAATCCCACCTATCATCGATAACCGTCAAAACTCGTGGCATTATTGATATTTAAGAATTGACAATTAATTAT